AAAGAGGAGAGTGCAAAAAACGGTCTGAAACTCAACATCAAAAAAACTAAGATCATGACCACTGGTCCCATCAGCTCCTGGCAAATAGAAGGGGAAGATATGGAGGCAGTGACAGATTTTACTTTCTTGGGCTCCATGATCACTGCAGATGGTGGCAGCAGCCACGAAATTAAGTGATGCCTGCTTTTTAGGATGAAAGCGATGACAAAACTCAACAACATCTTAAAAAGCAGAGACATCACCTTGCCCACAAAAGTCCGCATTATCAAAGATATGGTTTTGCCTGTAGTGATGTATGGAAGTGAGAGCTGGACCATAAAGAAAGCTGACTGCCAAAGAATTGATGCTTTTGAATTGGGATGCTGGAGGAGGCTCTTGAGAGTCCCCTGGACTGCAAGGAGAACAGATCTATCCATTCTAAAGAAAATCAACCCTGAGTGCTCACTGGAAGGACAGATCCTGAAGCTGAGGCTCCAGTACTTTGGTCATCTCATGAGAAGACTCCTTGGAAAAGACCTTGATGTTAGGAAAGTGTGACGGCAAGAGGAGGAGGGGACGACAGAGGATGAGATGGCTGGACAGGGTCTGTGAAGCAACCAACATGAAATTGACACAACTACGGGAAGCAGTGGAAGATAAGAGAGCCTGGCGTGCTCTGGTCCATGAGGTCACGAAGAGTCGGACACAACTAAACGACTAAACAACAACAACAACAAAGCTTTAACATTAATCCAAAGTGGGGATATCTCAAGGAAACCCAGAAATGAAACTTGAAAGTAATATTCTCTCCCACTTTCCCCCCTAATTCTACTAGTAATATAGTCAAAAACAGATTATCTCACAACATGGAGGTCCAGCACGAGCCATTCTGGCTAAGAGTGATGAACCTGCCTTTAGTAATTTATCTAATTTTTCTTTAAAGACTTTAAGACATTTTATATATCTTGGGTCAGCAGAATTAAAAAATTGTTATGTGAAGTAACTCACATTAATTATGCTCCACTTCTTAAAGTTTAAGATTACTATAGTCTATGTATATTATTAGCTGCTGCTACTCAGATTTAAGTAAAAGGTGATTTGTCTGATACAAGTATGCATGGGGGATTAATTAAGCACCTGCACAAATTATTATTATCCACAAGTCCTATTACACAACTTTTAAAGTAGTTTTAAGTGTGACTGCTGTTCATAAGGACTAACCTGATGTACCATTTCTCGTACAGTAGAATATATTCCCATTAATATGCCACAAATAATAGGCATTATCCACATGCATCAAAAATAGTACTGAAAATTTAAGTAATGGTATGATGGTGTTAAATGTCTGTATGGCTTTGGGAAGTTGAGAGCTATAACTGATGTTTGACATGTTTTATCCAAATTCTTATGCAGTGAGCTATGGCCATGACTGTCCATTCACTCTTGCTGTTTTACACAGGTTTATATAGCTGCAGTTCAAAGACAGAGAAAACAAAGCAACATCAGTAGACAACCTTTTGTCATAAACATAATAGAGGAGAGCTTTAGAGATCAGCCCTCTTCAGCCGATGAACTTCTGGAGCTAGTTCAGCCAGACTTGGGGAATCTGAGCAAACTCTGGCTTGCTGCACTTCAGGATTTTGCTCTCTTAACTTTGCCCCTGGAATACAGCTCTCAACTTCCTGCTGAAGGTAGGAGGCCAGATAAGGAAAAAAAGAAAAGAAAAAGAGTTTCTTTGGACATGTTAATGTTCTGCCAGCAGATAAATGGACTACTATTTTGTGGATATAGAAATAAGATGCTGGTAAGACTGCAAAAGAAAGCCAAATAAGCTTGGTTGTGTTTGAAATGTTATGAATAGTATTATTCTAAAAGAATAATTTGCTAGATCATTCTTATAATTTTGCAAGGAAGAAATGTAATTGAAACAATATGTTTGGAAGTATGAATGTGTATTTCTTTCCAGGTGGTGCTTTCTATACTGCAGAGACAGTTGAAAGTGCAAGACCACACTACCAAAATGCATGGGCTCTGATCCTCCATGCTACAGCGCTGTGGCTTACTAGCACAGGTTTCCTTGCTGGTGATTCAGATGAAGGCTTAACCAATCTTTCTCGACCTGTCACTCCAACTACTATGTGTCAAGATTCTACATCTAGGGGTCCTGTAAAATCACCAGAGGATGTAAACACGGATAGATTTCATCTTGTTTTGGGTTAGTGAGCATTAAGATGTTTCTTGTTGCTATTGTCAAATATTGGTTTTGGGTAGTGTCTTTGGAAATGCCAGTTTGGGTTGTTAGGTATATGTCTCAATGATTAATATACCATGCATGGTAAACAGCATTTTTGTACAGGATAAGTATAGAATATCATTTTATTATTCTGAATTAGGCCAGTGGACCATCTGAGTAGAGAACATTTAAAGCCCAGTGATAGTCTGAAACCCAGTGCTTCTATTCTCCAGGGTTTATGGTCCATTGCTGTTATTTAAATTGCTTTTATAATATCTGTCTGTCTGTCTGTCTGTCTGTCTGTCTGTCTGTCTGTCTGTCTGTCTGTCTCTCTCTCTCTCTCTCTCTCTGTCTGTCTCTCTCTCTCTCTCTCTCTCTCTCTCTCTCTCTCTCTCTCTCTCTCTATCTATCTATCTATCTATCTATCTATCTATCTATCTATCTATCTATCTATCTATCTATCTATCTATCTATCTATCTATCTATCTATCATTTAAAATATTTTACCCTGTCTTTCTCCTTAAGAAGGACCCAAGGAGGCTTCCATCCTTGAAATACAATATTTAAAGCTGAAAAACAATGAATATACAACAGTTGTTTACATAATTAAAAGATAATATTTAAAGCTAAAACAATAACTATGCAAATACTTAAAAGGACCAAACACCACTCTTAGAGATGGTAAACACAAGTAGTGCTAAAGACCCAGTCAGAGCAATAATGTATAACAATCCATCTAAAAGTCACTTTTGTAGTCACCAGTGTAGACAGTCGCTCATGTAAGCTGAGATAAAGCTGGCCTGAAGGGAAAGATCTTTGCCTGCTTGTGGAACGATAGCAAAGATGGGACCTGCATGGCCTCTTGTGGGAGGGAGCTCCAAAGTCTGGGAGTAGCAACAGAGAAAGCCTTCTCCCCATGTCCCCATCAGACATACCTGTGAAGGTAGTGGCACCAAGAGAAAGGCCTCACCTGATGATCTTAACATCTGAGCCAGCTCATAGCGGGTGACATGGTCTTTGAGATAGCTTGGCCATTTAGGGCTTTATAGGTTAAAAACATCAGTTTGGATTGTGTTCAGAAGCTGATCGACAGCCAGTGAAACTGCTGTAACGGGGTATGTGATCCCTGTAACCAGTCCCAGTTACCAATCTGTCTAGTGCATTTTGGACCTGCTGAAATATCCTGACACATTCCATTGGCAGCCCCATATAGAGCGAGTTACAATAATCCAGCAGGAAAGTAACTAGGGTGTGTATGACAGTGACCAGGTCAGATCTTTACAGAAACAGACTTTGCTGGCATAATAGTTTTAATGGTGCAGATGGACTCCTGGCTACCCCTGAAACAAACAGACTTTGCTGGCATAATAGTTTTAATTGTGCATAGGAACCTGGAATGTAAGAATGAAACATGAGCATCCAGGCTTAGAGACGAATCCAGAAGCACCCCCAAGGTATGCAACTGTGTTTTCAGGGGGAATGTAACCCCATCCAGTAGAGGCTGCACCCCTATTCCTTGATCTGCCTTTTGATTGACCAGGAGCACTGGATTTTATCCATTGCTTAATTTCACTTTGGTTCTGTATATAGAATTTAGTTTTCACAATTAAGGGTGGTTCTTCCTTTTTTTTTCCCATAGGCATTAGTGTGGAATTCCTTTGTTCTCCACGGTCAGATGCTGCAATGGAGAATATTACTGCTTGTCTACATGCTCTCCACTCACTGCTTGATGTTCCTTGGCCAAGGTCAAAGATTGGTAGTGATCAGGTAACAATGAATCTGGAAATTTTGAATTTGATTTGCTAGAAGTTAAATTGCATTAACTTTCTGCAGCAAGCCACCACTAAGCCAGGCACGTGCCTGATGTGCAATTGTGTTCACACCTTATATGGTGCCTTGATAGTTAGAGATAGATCACTATAGTGAAATATGTAGTTGAACATATGGACATGTAAATCATCACAGGATATTCACCAGTAGTTGTTGTAATTATTGCTTTTGCCTGGCAGTTCTAGGAAACTGTTTATTTTCCTTATTTGCTCAGAATATGAGGTCCCCTGAGGTTATTTGCAGAGCACCATTATGCATGTTTAATCTGTTTTCAGTCCTTGGAAACACAGTGGATATATATGTGGTTTTACTGTGTTATGCTACATGTTTCTACTATTTGATGGTTCTGTTTATTTTAATAGCTCCCCTTTCTTAATTGCTAGTTTTCCTAAGCGAGGTGTGCGGAGAAACTCCTTGACTTGTCTTTTTTTTGAGGGCCAGACTTTGTCTTCTTCTTCACAGCAAAATCCACACATTCTCCCATTCTGTAGAACTAAACAGGACCATATATTGGGAACATTATAAGATTTGGATGGGAAATCCAAACGAATCTGAACTTTATTTTTAAGGATTACTGTATTTTTTAGGTAAATAAGAGATGAAAATGGTGTGAAACCTTCCTTTCCAGGAAGAGGCTTCACACACCTGCATTAGTGCACCTGCACTATTCGAATCTTCTACAGCCTGCAAGCCCCAAGCTTTCTCCTTCTCCCATTCCTAGTGCGCATGCCCATCCCCATCACCTCCAGTCGGTTTCTGTCCACCATGACAACAACACCTTGCAGCCTAGAGTCTGCTCTAAATTACTATTCTACACCTAGTTCTAGTTGTTTCTTCGCAACTTATTTTCTCTTTACCCTTTCTCCTTTTATTTCCAAAAAAGAAAAAGATTTTTTTTATCATTTAAAGTCCCCCCCCCCTTTTCATGAGTGCTCACTGGAAGGACAGATCCTGAAGCTAAGGCTCCAATACTTTGGCCATCTCATGAGAAGAGAAAACTCCCTGGAAAAGACCCTGATGTTGGGAAAGTGTGAAGGCAAGAATAGAAGGGGACGACAGAGGATGAGATGTCTGGACAGTGTCATCAAAGCTACCAACATGAATTTGACCCAACTCCGGGAGGCAGTGGAAGACAGGAGGGCCTGGCGTGCTGTGGTCCATGGGGTCACGAAGAGTCGGACACGATTTAACAACTAAACAACAACAACCCCCCTTTCATTCTCCTCAGTGCTTTTTCCCACATACACAGTGCTTTTTTATGGTTTCAGACTTAATGAAAAAGTGTCTTCACTATGGAGTAAAAATCCCTCAAGCTGATGTGCATTCTAAATGTCTCTACTTCCTTGGTGAGGATCATTTAGTGGAGACCTGTTCTGTCTGTAAAGGATTTACAAAAATAGCACTTGACAGCTGTAGTCCTGACTAAAGCTGTTGGGAGAACTCACTGAAAGCAGTACATTCTATATCAATGGACTCTCAACCACATATGGACTCTGTTTCAACCGCTAAACAGATGTTAGCTTACCTCAATCTACCCTTTCAAGGCAAGACCAGTCCATTGTTGCTTTGATTTCTATTCCATCAGGCCCAGACATGACAGCTTAATCTTCAAACCTAACTTCAGCACCTACAAAACCTAAGGATATGGTGCATCACAGGTTTTTTATGTTGGTGGGACCCATTTGAAACTACAGATGTCTTTGGTAGTGATTTGCCCTGCCTCTGCTCAGACAATTGGACATATAGGTGATATAACTGGTGCAGGGTCTGCTTTTGAAGGGAATCCAAGGAGTGAATAATCTCAAACTGTGATACCAGAGATAACCAAGATTTCTCTGCCATGCCCAGTGCCTACAATGTCAGTTCCCTGAATGAGGTTGAGCTTGAGCTCTTCAATATGTACCTCCCATGCCCAGTGCCTACAATGTCAGTTCCCAGAATGAGGTTGAGCTTGAGCTCTTCAAGGCACAACATAACAGTTACGTCACAAAGTAATTGAGTCTTCTGATATTCATTTGCTACCTCCAGCAAACCCAGCTGTTTTACAATTGACACATTCTGCTTCAATTTCAATGATACCGTGACCATGCCGTCAATTGACACATTCTGCTTCAATTTCAATGATACATGACCATGCCGCCTGGCTAATCACTTTTTCAACTCTCTAGTCCTTTTTGCTGAGCTATCCTTGAGCCTGAAATATAAGAGCCAAATGGATTCAATGGTAAAATAAACAATAATATATTTTATTTTATGAAGTGTAATGGTTATGTGGCGGGTTAAACCGCAGAAGCCTCTGTGTTGCAAGGTCGGAAGACCAGCAGTCATAAGATCGAATCCACGTGAAGGACTGAGCTCCCATTGCTTGTCCCAGCTCCATGTACAGTAAATGCGAGTAGATAAATAGGTACCACCTCAGTGGGAAGGTAATGGCATTCCGTGTCTGGTTGCACTGGCCACGTGACCATGGAAACTGTCTACGGACAAACACTGTCTACGGACAAACACTGGCTCTATGGCTTGGAGACGGGGATGAGCATCATGCCCTAGAGGCGAACACGACTGGACTAAATGTCAAGGGGAACCTTTACCTTAACTATAATAGGCAATTCTTTTTTGGAAACCCACACTACTATGCTGACCTTTACCTTAACTATAATAGGCAATTCTGTTTTGGAAACCCACATAGCAAACTATGTATCAACCTCCTTCTAGCCCTCTTTGACTGTTAACTCTCTCTTAACTGAAAACTCTTTCTCCAACTCCTTTTTTCTTCCCTTGAAGCTGTTAACTCTCTCTCAACTGAAAACTCTCCAATTCCTTTTTTCTTCCCTTGAACCCACCTAGCAAGTTGTAATTAGCTCAGCCCCGGCCAAGCAGCTTCTCTTTGCTGACAATGAATGAGGCTGCCCATCACAGATACTGAAACACACATAGGTTTCTCAGTGAACATCCATAGAGGCCCTACGGCAGACCACTTTTCCACCTGTTGATTATGATGACTCTGATGATTTGGATGGTGACAATGAGGCATCATCTGCTTCACCTTCTCTGCTTGTCTCCTCATCTGATGTGGAGGATATGTGTACCTACTCTGATTTAATGAGGAAGATGGCTAACTCTTTAGAACTTCCATTAATGAAGCCAGAACTAGAAGTCTCTGACCCAGTTTTTAACAGAGTGATGTCTACTGCTAGTGTTCCTTTGCTTATGTTCCATATGTTGAAGAATTCATTGGCCAGTCATGACAGTAGCATTCTTCAAAAGCCCCAACTGCGAGACACGTTGAAAATGTATTCAGAATGGAAGAAGAAGGGGTCAATTTCTTTCTCAAGCACACTTTCCAAAATGCTATAATTGTAGAGACTTCACAAATGAAGGCTAGAGAGTGCTCTCGCACTACTCCAGTTAAAAGAGAGGGCCACAAATTAGATCCTTTGGGTAGTAAAATCTACTCTATAGCAGGACTAGACATGAGACTTTTTAATTACCAAGTCACTGTGGCTGCATACAATCTATGTATTTGGGATAAATTCGAGCTTCTAACAGCATGTCTACCTGAGAACAAAAGATGTTTGGTGGCATCTTTTCAACAAAAAGTTTGCTCCTAGGTAGCACATCATATCCAAGACAATCATATATATATGGGGTCCCCAACCGTGGCCTGAGCTGGACTGGGCCGCTGAGATACACCTCCTGCCCCCCCTGCACTCACCCCTGCACAGCCCATTTGCGGCTGCGTGTCCGCTCCAGCACACCCATGCGAGTGCTGCCATTTGCGCATGTGCACGAGCATGAGAGAGAGATATATTGTTCGCGCATGCGGGTGAGCGTGGGGGTGCCCACCTTCCCCAGCCGTTCTGTGGACTGAAAAAGACTGGGGACCACTGATATATATAACATAAAAGGGAATGGAACAAAGACGACAAGGTGGCATCTTTATATGATGTACCTGTCTTTACCTGTCTAAGGTAAAGGCTGCTTGTCGAATTTGTTTCGCTAACCGGATAAGCGAAGCATCCAACTAACAGGCAGAGTTATTCCGTATAGTGCGCGACCTATCTGGAACTGGTCCGGGTGATAGGCCTCCCCCTAGTTTTTCACCTGACCAGTTTGCAGCTTTTTTTAAATCTAAAGTGGAGGCCATCCGCCGGGACCTCTCTCCTTTTTTGAACACAGTGAGTCGAGCAGAGATGTCCAGCGCTCCGTCTTGCCCAGTAACTTTCAACACCTTTCAGCCTGTCACACCTGATTCTGTGGCCAAGGTGCTTGACCACTGTCGAGCCACCACCTGCTCCTTGTACCCTTGCCCGTCCTGGCTAATCAAAGCAGCCAGGCCGAAAACAACAGAATGGGCCACTGCAATAATAAATGGGTCTTTCCTTGAGGGCAGGTTTCCATCTGCCCTCAAGGAGACACTCATTAGGCCCATCAGAAAGAAACCGAACTTGGCGGCAGACAAAATTGGCAAGTATAGGCCCGTCGCCAATGTTTCTTTCATGAGCAAAGTGGTGGAGAGGCTGGTGGCTGACCAGCTTCAGGCTCTCTTGGAGGAAACAGATGCCCTGGACCCATTTCAGTCGGGCTTCAGGCCGCGCCACGGTCTTTAGTCCCCATGGTCGTCTTTACACATGAAAGAGCAGATGTTCATTTTGTTTGATGAGCTGAGAAATACCACTAGCTGTCTCTGAAGCAAAATAACCTTGGAGCACAGAGTCAAAAGCTCCCATATCTGTAAGATGGAGGAACCTTACTGGTTCCCATTCTACACATTTTTCAACCATTAATGCAGATTTTGCAACGCATGTTTAAGAAATTGTAGTAACAACAGCTGCAGAAAGCGATTGATCTGTTGTGTTTCACTAGGAGTTACTAGGTAAAATCCATTTTCCCTGCCACCTGAGGCATCCTTTAAAAAATTGTCGACCAAAAAAGTACGTATTGATTTGCTTTAAAGAACATATACTTGCAGGAAGGATATAAACAAGAAGTTCATTGGCATAAAACTCCTTTAGATGTAAAAATGGGATGAAGTCATTAGAAAGCCACTAGCTCATAGCTATATTTCACAGTTATTAGGATATACTAAAATTGGAGATACTCTCAGAATGCTCTAGGAGATTATTTGGGAAGGGATTGTAACTCAATGGTAAAGCACATGACTTGTATGCAAAGGGTCTAGGATCAATTCCTGGCATCTCCCAATGTGATGTCAAGCCTCATCTGACTTACAGAAATTCTAATAGGGTCTTCAAAACAAGTGAGATATGTATCAGTGCCACACCCCTCCCCATGAGTTTCCATGGCCGAGCAGAGATTTGAACCAGGTGTTCTGAGTCTTGTTTCATCACTCTGTCTCAAATACTACACTGGGCTAGGAAAAACTTCTGCCTAAAATGCTGGAGAATTACTGACAGTCACTTCTGGTGGCTGTACAGGGCTGGATGGACCAATGATCTGAATGAATATAAAACATCTTTCTATGTCCCTGGAATCTTCAATACATCCACTTCCCACTTTGTCAATTAGTTCATTAAAAACTAGAGTGATCGCAAGACCAGATAGGTGGGATATAAATGGAATAAATAAATAAATAAATGTATATAGGGTTGTGGCAAACTGGATAAGTGAAACTATGGATACAGATCCTGTAGATACAGGGGTCCTACTCTGTGGCACAAATCTAGATATTCAAAGTACAGGTCTTTATCATCATCTAAAAACCAGACAAAAAGAACAAACAGCATCTTTGACTCCTTGCATGTTGAGATTGATACAACAGACATCTCCTGTTTATAATTTCCCTTCTTTCAACACCAGAAAAAACCACTGGCATCTCACGTTGATATATGGCATATAATTACTGTACCTCAGATTCCTTGGTGCTGTCCATAGTCATCTATGATCACACCACTGAGTTCATAAGACATCCTCCAACTAGCCATATTCATACTACTGCTTTGTCTCAAATCCTAGAGGAAGAAGTTACAATTTAAAGGGACAATACAACCTGTGGCTACAAAAACGCAAATGGTATTTTAGGCTGCATTAATAGAAGTATAGTGTCCAAATCCTGTGAGATGCTAGTCCCCCTCTATTCAGCACTGGTTAAGCCTCACCTTGAATATTGTGTCCAGTTCTGGACACCACACTTCAAGAAGGATGCTAACAAATTGGAACAAGTTCAGAGGAGGACAACAAGGATGATCAGGAGGCTGGAACTCAAGCCTTATGAGTAAAGACTGAAAGAACTGGGCATGTTTAGCCTTGAGAAAAGAAGACTGAGGGGTGATATGATAGCACTTTTCAAATATTTGAAAGACTGTCATACAGTGTAAGGGCAGGATCTGTTCTCGATCATCCTAGAGTGTAGGACACACAACAATGGGCTCAAGTTAAAGGAAGCCAGATTTTAGTTGAATATCAGGAAGAACTTCTTAACTGTTAGAGCAGTACGACAGTGGAACCAGTTACCTTGGTGCGTGCTCCAACACTGGAGGCATTCAAGAAAAACTTAGATAATCACCTGTCAGATATGCTTTGATTGTATTCCTACACTGAGCAGGGGGTTGGACTTGATGGCCTTGTAGGCCCCTTACAACTTCATTTTTCTATGATTCTGTGATTCTATGAACCTGTATCTCAGGCACATTCAAAATAGCTATAATTCCTTTTATTTTACAATACCAAAAAGATGGTTGTCCACACCCTATTCTCAATTCCACTCAAGCAGTTACAACCCACAACATTAGTTATGACATATACAAGTATAATGGATCAGGGGGCTCATAGCTTAGGCAGCACTGCTAAAGCTTTTTGCTCCCTTCAAAGAAGAAAAGACACATAAATTACTTAGAGCTTCCATTATATTCAAGGCACTGAAAGCATTTCTAATTCTGTTGATATTGTTTTCCAAGTTGCAAGATACAATACAACAGCAATGTACTACTTGAAGAAGAAGGAAGGAACACATTTAATGTTTCTTCTATTTTTGATCATGGAACTTCGGAAGTGGTGCATCTTGCATCACATTTACCTAAGAGCAAGACACATGAGTGGGCACTGCAATCAACAGCAGAAAATTATTCTAAACAAGAATTTAAAAAAACTTTGACAACCCATTCAAAATAACAGAACTATATGAATTATAATACAATCATAGTAAGCGTCTTATTTGTAGACTCTTATATATTCATAACTGATGCTTTTGAATTGTGATGCTGGAGGATACTTGAGACTCCCCTGGACTGCAAGAAGAACAAACCTATCCATTCTAAAGGAAATCAACCCTGAGTGCTCACTGGAAGGACAGATCTTGAAGCTGAGGCTCCAATACTTTGGCCATTTCATGAGAAGAGAAAACTCCCTGATGTTGGGAAAGTGTGAAGGCAAGAGGAAAAGGGGATGACAGAGGATGAGATGGTTGGACATTGTCACTGAAACTACCAGCATGAATTTGACCCAACTCTGGGAGGCAGTGGAAGATAGGAGGGCCTGGCGTGCTGTGGTCCATGGGGGCACAAAGAGTCGGACACAACTTAGTGACTAAACAACATCATACATTCATATCTGTATGTACAGTATTAACATTATCTCCTTATCTGCCTCAGTATCTTCCATGGCTTATTATCGAATTTCTATACCTGGCTTACGTCACTTAAACTAACCAGCAGTCCAGCCCATTGTGCATTTTGCTTACTCTGTTTTTTGTTTCTGTATCAGAAACCCCATAGTCTAACCTGATTGTAATTTATTTCATCAGCGCAACTGCCTATATTCTGTTCAGTTTTCTTTGCAAGGAGAGATCTTGAGCATATTTCCAGGACTGGGCAATTTCATTTTGCATTGTTCCTATAAGAAACACCACCAATCTATTGTTAAAATTACTCTAAGGATCAATCATGATATGTTAACAGTTTAAAAGGTCTTGTTCTATTTCTCTTTATGTACAGGAACTGAGTGTAGAGCTGCTGAATGTTTTACATCGACTTATACTAACTCGGGAATCTCCTGACATTCAGCTTGCTGCTCTGGGAGTTGTACGACAGATTCTTTTTGCAGCACAGGAGCACGTCAAGGAAAAACGAAGGAGTGCAGAAGGTAGACTTGGTCAAGTGTGCTAAGGTCACAATTCCATTGTTAGTGAAAAAAATGCTGGGTTTCTCCTCATTAGTGGCACTATATTAACAATATTTTATTCATTCATTCAACTTACATGCAATATACTTTGAATCTGCATTCTTGATTCAATTGAACATTTGTGCTGTATTGAAAAATGCTTTGAGGTGTTTTTCCTCATAGTGTGGGTCAATATGGAACGTCCCTTAGTTAGTTTTAATTTAAATTATTCTTCTTTTTCATGATCAGCATCTCCATCAAATATAGTACATGCCTGATAAAATCAATATATATGTAGTGCACTTATTTTCTTTCTCTGAATAATATGGCCAAAATCCTGATAGGTGATTTCTGCCTGTGCAACAGAAATGACTTCGTAGCTGCAGCAGATTATTGCCCTGATTTCTTTCTTTCTTTTTGAGTTTCCAGATACTCGGAACTTCATCTAATTGGTTGTGAAAAATGCACATTCCAAGATATTTATAAAAGTTTTTAGTCGGTAGCAATCTGCTGCTGACAGTGACATTATTCCGATTATGTGGATGGAATTATGCAACAGGATTTCGGAAGAAAGTGGAGGGGGAAAGCAGGAATCATTAAAGTGCTTTGATTCCTGATTTTCCCCTCCACTTTCTTGCGAGGAAAGTGCTTTTCCCATCCACTTTCTTCACAAAAAGTAGAGGAGGAAAACAGGAATTATCAAAGCGCTTTGATGATTTCTGCCTTCCCCCTCCACTGTCTTGTGAAGAAAGAAATTTGGGGTTAGAAAAGGGGGGATCTTATAATGGGGGTGTCTTATACACAGAAAAATATGGTACCTTATGCAAGGTTTGGAACAGCTCTACTGTAGCTAGGATTAACATTTGGATTTAAGCCCCCCAAACAATGCTATTTAATAGTTCCTAATCTATTCCTGTCCAGTCTATTATATTACTAAATCTATAGTTATGACATGGATATGGCTTGCTTGAATAATCTTCCTTTTTGTTAAAAAAAAAAAAAGCTTCAGAGTTCTATCCTGCATAGACAGGTGTGTTAATCACTCAGAGTAGACCCTTNAATAATCTTCCTTTTTGTTAAAAAAAAAAAAAAGCTTCAGAGTTCTATCCTGCATAGACAGGTGTGTTAATCACTCAGAGTAGACCCTTGGTCTAGATGTGCAAGATAGAAATCTAATAAATAAATAAATTTATGCTATTGGTATAAGTTCACAGCATAGTATCGTCATAAATCATTCTGTCTACCTCTTGGAAACATCAGATGGTCAGTTTGCTATGGTATATAAAAAGATTCCATGACTAAGATCATTTTTTGCAAACAACTATTAGGAAGCAATTCTCCCATTCCCAGTATTGCAGAGAACTGTGTGGAAGCTAAACAGTAAAAGGAGGAATAAAGGGCATAATTTGGAATGGACAGAAAAGATGTATGCCTTCACTTTGTTAGTGGTAGATGATGTGTATGCTATGATTTAAGGAAAGACCACATACAAGGATTAAGGTTTATAGAAGCAGTTCCTGGGCTGTCCCATTTCCTTGTCTTCTATAGTTGCCCATCCTTTAGTACTATTTTATTTATTTATTTATTTATTTATTTATTTATTTATTTATTTATTTATTTATTTATTTATTTATGTAAGCATCAACACTTTGAAGTCGATGCGGAATCGGATGGGCAGCCAATGTAATGCGGCCAGAGTAGGTGAGATATGTTGGTATTTTCTCACTCCAGTGAGGAGTCTGGCTGCCGCGTTGTGCACCACCTGTAATCTCCGCAGCAGCTTCAAAGGTAGCCCCATGTAGAGCGCATTACAGTGGTCTAATCTCAAGATTACAAGCGCATGCACCAAGGTAGTGAGTGCCCCCACACCAAGATAGGACCGCAGCTGAGCTATCCACCTGAGGTGGAAAAAGGCGGTGCGGACCACGGACGCCACCTGGGATTCCATAGTGAGTGCCGGGTCCAGATGGATCCCCAAACTGCGTACCCCATCCTTGGCAGGAAGGGGCACCCCCCCACACAAAAGAGAGGGAGTTTCCCAAACCCCCCGGTGTGGGGACACCCACCCTCAGCACCTCCGTCTTGTCCAGGTTCAGCCTCAGCCCGTTCTCCTGCATCCATTCCAGTACAGTCGCCAGGCAGCGCTGGAGGGACAGGACGGCATCTCCTGCAGAAGGTGGAAAGGAGATGTAGAGCTGAGTATCATCAGCATACTGATGACATCGAGCTCCACACCCCCGGATGACCCCTCCCAGCGGCCTCATGTAGATGTTAAACAGCATTGGGGAGATAATCGACCCCTGTGAAACCTCACAATTGAGACTACACGGGGCCGAGAAACTCTCCCCAAGCTGTACTCTCTGGGGGCGGTCCTCCAAGAAGGAACGGAGCCAGGCCAAAGCCAGGCCGCCTATTCCCAACTCAGAGAGCCTCCCCAGGATGATACCGTGGTCAATGGTATCAAAGGCCGCTGAGATATCGAGGAGGACCAGCAGGGGCACTTTCCCCCTGTCGGCCTCCCTCAATAGGTCATCACACAGGGCGACCAATGCCGTTTCTGTACCATGGCGCGCCCTGAAGCCCGACTGAAACAGATCCAGGGCATCTGTTTCGTCCAGGTAGGCCTGGAGCTGATCGGCCACCACCCTATATATCCTGTATATAGGAAGTGTACATACAACAACAGTTCAATTTCCTCTGAATTTGTCTATGAATATTATTATCATTGCTCTTAGTTCAGACAGTGCATAGTACTTCTCCAATAACACTCCACTAATACAGAAATGTCATGTCTTATAATTTTATTTTTGTCAGGGTTTTTTCCCTTTAATATATCTTACTGTTGGGAATGTGGATGTGAGTTTTGATATAGTTGTTAACTGCCCTGAGTAGTACTTTGCACTAAGTTGGGCAGTACGTATACATACATACATACATACACACACACACACACACACACACACACACACACACACACACATACAAACAAACAAACAAACAAACAAACAAACAAACAAACAAACAAACAAACAAACAAATGGGTCCTGTGTGCTAGATTAAAGGCATTATCCTCTTTTTGCTATTTATGGGAAAGGAAATGTTTCCACCAAAGTCCATTTTCTGTGTATGGATTTCTCTTCACACATTGGAGATTACAATCGGTTTCATTCGGTTCATGTATAAACTGAAATTAAAACAGTGAAATCATTTGTTGTTTATAAAGCTTCAAGGAGCTCCTCCCCCCCCCAAAAAAAACAACAACAGGAGTTTGACCATTTATGTATCTCCTTTTTTTTCATTTTAGTTGATGATGGGGCTGAAGAAAAGGAAACATTACCTGAATTTGGGGAAGGCAAAGATACAGGAGGACTCATACCTGGGAAGTCCTTGGTCTTTGCAACACTGGAGATGTGTATGTGTATCCTTGTAAGGCAGTTGCCTCAGCTGAACCCAAAGATAACATGTAGCCCTGGTATTACAGCTAGAAAACCTCAGCTGTTATCAGAGAATGGAAGTAGCCTGGTATCAGCAGCATTAGGAATCCTCTCTGATGTTCCAGCAGTCTGTTCACCAGAAGGTAGGATGAACTCCCCAGATACTATTTTATTGTCGAGAGAAATAAATAGGCAATCTGAAGAAAGAAGTGTCTCTTGTGATACTTTTAGACCATATTTCGATACAAGATCTACACCAAGAAAAAATCTGTAATTTGACTTACTGAGGGCTTGAACATAATTATTTAGTTATTATATGTGTTGATGTTTTCGGTTATTGCTTTTATGTGTACATAAAGAGAAGTGTTGTACACGAAGTCAGCAGTGTATAAATGAATGAATGAATAATTGATCCAAGAGAAGATTAACAGTTTAGAAAATATGCAAGCAGACATGCTTTGAAACAACATGCTTTAAAACAACACAACCCTTGAACAATCTACTTGTAGAAGTGGTGCAAAATCTGAGCTGAGAACTCACACAAGGTCACAGCTCTTCTGTAATCTACTGGTGTAAATAACCCAGTGAATTTCTTTTTCCAGACAGGTTATTTGGTAGCATATTGTCAGAGCCAGTATTAATTAAAATCAGTATTTCCGTTTATTTCTTTCTATCTTCTGTTTCTGATTGTGCTTGTTAGATTGTAAGCATTTGGACAGAATTATGTTCTTGTAGCATTTCTGTATAGCTATAAAAATTTTAAGCTGTAGTCACCATACAGTACAATAAATGCTGTATAATACAGAAAAAATGCAATACTATATGTATTTTATTATAAATATTTCTGTATCTGGAATTCATCTATTCATATAGTAAACAATAGATTTCTTTTGTCATATTTTTTGTAATACAATGATTAAGCAGTGGCCAGAATCTTATTGATTGCACCCTCCAGCATTACGTCCAGTGGTGTAAATTTCAATAACCTCTAGTCAAGAATTTGGTGTGTGTCACACACCAGTAACTTTTCATGGGTTCCAGGGTCTATCACTCAATTAGATGCAATGCCTCACCTTTTCCAATTTCTAGGCACTGATAACTAATTCACATGCACATAAGCTGATTAGAAATATTCTCTCTCATGATGACCATGCCATGCTTGGAAGGCTACATGTTTGATAGCATTTCTGGTGTGAGATAGCATTAAAACCTAGCAGTAAGAGCAAAGGCCAAAGACCTAAGCTGTTTTTCAGTGGAATAAAAATTAAAGTATCATACAAGAAAAAGCCTTTGTACATCTGATGGGGACCAGGTCTCTCAGGTTTGTGGTGTAGTGAGTATCTGTGTGAAGCAATACTCCACCAATCCCAGAAAGGTGTTGCACATTGCTTTTGTGATAGAAAGGTAGAAGAAAGCTCCTTGCCAGTAGCAGGAAACTGCACCTACTTCTGTACCACAGACTAGCTACAAAAAATCCTCACTGATCAGTAGATGAACAAGCATTAATTTAATAGCAATGTGGGTCTGGCCATCTCATTAATGTTGTGGCATTTTCCCTAGATTATTTTGTCATGAGATAATTGTCAGTAGTAAATGGATGTAAAATATGATCATTGTTCTTCATATGTAGTCCTGCTAAGTAGAATGCTGAGTCTGGATTGTGTTGGTTCAGTGAATGCATAATACAATCTTTCATTGGTTCAATGTGCACTTACATTATATGCCATCAAGTCTGAACTGACTTATAGCAGGCCCAATAGTTCTTTCAAATTAAATGAGATGTTTAAGTAGTCTTACCAGTTCCACACCCCTAGTAAGCTTCCATGGCTGAGCAGGAATTCAAACCTTGGCCTCCACTGAGTCCTAGCCAATCTACACCACACTGGATATCCCCCAATGTGCACCATGTGTATTTTATTTTATTAAATTAAGAATGGCATTTATGCCACAACTTTCTCCTGCAGGAAGCATTGCTGTTCTTCCCACTATCTTGTATCTGATTATTGGAGTCCTCCGAGAAACTGCTGTCAAACTACCTACTGGCCAACTACCTTTGACTGCTGCTGCATCCTTACAAGCTCTTAAAGGAGTGCTATCTTCTCCCATGGCTCGGGCAGAGAAGAGCCGAACTGCTTGGAACGAATTGCTCCGTAGTGCTTTGGTCACTATTCTTAATTTTTGGGATCAAGGTACATGAAGTTGAAGAATGTGTTTGAATGTAACTCAGTATAAGGAAAAGATGGTTCTCTGGCAATTGGATATATATACACTATACCAAACTAATGATGCTTCAAAAATAATGTGTAATACAGTCCAACAAGAAATTGTTTAGACCGGAGTTTCTTATCCTTTCGCCTTTTTTTTACTGTTTGCCATCTGAGATGCACCAGGCTCTGTCCCTCATGACTTTTAGGAAATTACTGAAGACAGAACTTTATAAAGTGGCCTTTGAAAACATATCCCCTGCTATTGTGGATTTTTAATGTTTTAATTTAGGGGGATATTTTTTTTAAGTTAGTCATCATGGCTGTATTGTTTGGATTTGTAATGTGATGATGGTGAGAGTTCTATTTGTAAATTGCTCAGAGTAGTGGGAGTCACTAATTGAGGTGATTTAAACAAACAAACAAACATTATTTTAGTCAGTGACATGATGGACAAAGTTAATCTGATATCCTGCTAGTCTGTGAACCTGAGGTTGCAAGGTAAGGGAATTAGAATATATTTATATTTACAAGAATCCTTTTCCCTTGTCCCATGAGGTTTTGCATTTGTTCCGGTCTTCATTTAGTTTCCAGATAGTTTCCTTGTCCATCTGTTTAAAAATATTTCTGCTTTCTTCCCTGTTTGAGTTTCAATATAAGGTGAACGTAAGTGGTTTCCGTTCTGTGCTAGATAGGGGTGGAAATCATTGTCTTGCCTTTGAGTCAGTAAGATACCGTATTTTTTGCACCATAAGACGCACTTTTTTCCCAGATTATATTTTCCTGTTTTCTTCTCTTAAAAATTGGTGCGTCTTATGGAAAGGTGCGTCTTATGGTGCGAAAAATACGGGTACTTGTTTTCACATTTGGAAGAATCCTTTTTTGAAAAAATCATTCAAATTGTGCAGATTGCATACCTGAATTGCAATAGTCGCTGACTTGTTGCACATACATCTAAAAATTAAAAGCATTAAGTGGTTTCTTTGAGACTACTGTATTTGATAAACCGGCAAGACTTTTTTAATATTTCCTTTGTGTGTGTCTGCATGAATGTAGTTTGCTTCACAAAGGGACAGCCCACAGTTTGAGCAAACATATTTTTAACAAAAAATATTTGTCTTTAAGCTGGAAGCAGGAAATATCAGGGGTAACCAATAAAGTGACCCATACAAGAACAATAATTTTGGTGCTAATTATCACATTATTGGTACATCTGGAAGGATGGGCTGTCTTCTTCATTATTCAGGAAAACAGGGATCATGGGGCTATGATCTTTCATATGTATCATGCACTCCCAGTTTCATTCTTGTCTATGTAGGACAGGTCCCTGTTCCATCAGTTTCATTCTCTCTTGGAGGAATCTTTCATTGCTGTTCTTCCATTTCTGTTGAACCTCACCTTCAATGAGCTGTTTTTTGTCCCTCCACATTCTCTGTCTTGCTGTTTCCTCCCTAACTTTGTCCTTATGGTATTTTTGTGAAGGGTACTACTAACAAGTCTATGCAGATTCAAAAGTGTTACTCTATAGGAAGCATCAAATTCTCCCCAGTAGCAGTTTATGGGAAGTACATTGTAATAGAAGAACCTTAAATATTCATTCATTCATTCATTCATTCATTCATTCATTCATTCATTCATTCATTCATTCATTCATTCATTTTTATCCAACCCATCTAATGGCAAGCCGCTGTGTGTGGCTAATAACACCTATGCACCCACCTAACAACAGGAAACACCCAATTCATAAAAGATTGGGGGGGGAAGAAACCCTCAAAGGCAAACTAATGACAAACTAATATAAATACATTCATATGGGACAGTGAGATAAATCATAGGGAGGGGATGTTTCTGAATGCCTCCCTGAAAAGCTATATATATTAACTTTTACTCTGACCCAACATCATATTCACATTGTAGATTTGATCTTAGCAGCTTTATATAGGTTCAATTTAAAAATAAATAAATCTGGTTTCAGAATGCATAACTTTCATGTTTTATCATTGATAGATGGTGCTCACCAAGAGTTAGATGAAGGAAGTCTTCTGGGTGCAATCACAGTATTTATTTTGTCTACAAGTCCCGAAGTTACCACCATGGAATACCTTCAGTCGAGTTGCATTGAGAAGTTTAAATCAGCAATGGAATCTAAAGATCCTATTGTAAGTCATGCATACTGCTTAACTTCTTTAAAAAATCTGCTATCCTTGTTACATATCGTACTGAACAGTGGGTATTCCTTCCATCTGAAATAGGCAGGTTAATATAGAGGGAAAAGGCTTCTGAACTGTGGTGCATTGTGTGGTGTAATCTCACCTTTCCAGTTTTTTTATCTAAAGATCTATTTCCCTATCGTGATTCTTTTGTGCCCTTGAAAATATGAATTGAAGAACAGTATGGAAGTATGTAAAATAATTACTGAATTTAAATGGTTATTTTACATCAAATCGTTTACATTTTGAAGTTCTAAAAAGGTGGCAAGAATTAGGAGCCAGTTGTGTGATATTAAGAACATCCTGTGTAGAAATTTGTTATTTGTTAGCTATTTCCAGATTTTTTAATGCATTTTACATTGCCACTAGGAAAAGTGAAAGGTTTTATTTCACTGGTTTCATTTCATTCATCCTACATCCTCTGTTTGTGACAAGCACTAGATCAGCCGTTTGTAATTGAATTCCACATGTACACTGAAGTCAGTGCCATCACACCTGGTGATTTAGTCAAAAAAATCTTGAATTTAACAGTAGCACATATTAATTTCAATATTTCTATTAATTTTCCTTGTTCCTTCTCTTGCATTTTCTGCTCTCCTTCTGGGTCCCAGATTAGGTCATTTTACTGACTTTGGGGCAGTCCTTCGTTTCTTGTAATTGTAGTAGGACACATGACCGCTTCACAGATGCAGGTTATTGTGTGAGTCTAATATTAATGTTTAGTTTTTAACTTTGAATTTTCTTAATTCTCATCTAGGTGCAACTTAAATGCTACCAGCTGCTGCTTACTATTTTTCAGTATCCAAACCGTGTGGTGTCATATCCTTATATTAATTCATTAGCCCCATCAGTTGTCGGCAAACTGCAGGCAACAGAGAAAGCTAAGCCTGAAAATTCAGCTGAACTTCAAGTTATTCAGGAAGGGATAAAGGTTGTGGCTGCTGTTATAGCCCTTTCTGAGGAAGAACATCGTAAGTGCCCTTTTTTTAAGCCCAAGAAATTTAATGAACAAAAAAGAATTACAGATTGCAATGGAAATGCAATATTGCACCTTCGATTCTGACAGTATAAGTGTAGATCACAAATGATATTCTGTGACATTTTTGCAGTTAATGCTTTTCATTTGTTTGAAAATTGAGGAACAGCACTTAACATTTAATTACTTGCATATTTGATTTACTTATGAATTTTTACAATATTAAAACCCTATAGTTTTAAAAAAATCACTGCAAAAACACATTGTTTAATAAGTGCAACACCAGTCTGTTAAAAGCTGCCAGTTCAGTTCCAGAAGTTTACCTGAATAAAAAGATTTATGTTTTGATTAATTTAACAGATTACTTAGTCTAGCAAAGGCAGTTGTAGGCTTTTACACATGATCACGCTTCTAGATAGTATGCCATATAGGAGGGAGAAAACATATCTAGCTACTAGCGAAGCACACCGCTGCGTCCATAGCTTCTGGCCTGGACTATGAGTTTTATGTTGTCTCCATTTTGAGAATCAGAAGTTATTCACCATCTACTAGGAAGGCTCCTCAGCTGCCAAGCTCCCCACCACAGCCGAGGGAGCAAGGTTGTTTAAAAGCTGCAGTGACAGCTTTTTGATTTGAGTATGAGGAGGATGCCATTTCTGCTCTTGTGGAGCCTGTCTTGTTTTGCATAGGCATGTCTCATTCACGCGCACTGACACTGTGTACAGGACAGGTTTATTTCATTGTCAGCTTGGTGCTACAATTCTTTTGCTTTTGTTTTGGTTATATATGCTGAAACAGATTAACATGGCAGCCTTCCTGGAAGAAAAAAATGTATGGAAGAAGTAGTTTTTCAGAGAAAGAAACCTTGCAGGACCTGGATTTAACCATCTATTTAACAATCAATCCATTCAGGCTTTGAACTGTAAGCAACATGGGTTATAAATCTCAATGCAGAATTTTAATTTGAGGTGCAAGAGTTTGTTCTGCTCATGTTGTATCAGTTCTAATTAGTTTGGTTCCAGTGAAATCAGAGAGATCACTTAGATATTGTATATCAGGCTAAGTAGGCTGCAGACTGCAAAGGGTGCTGCTTATATACCGTCCCATATTGCCTAAATCACTCTCTGGGCGGTTTATAAATTAATTATGCAGGCTACAATTCAGCCCTCCCCCCGCAAGCTGAGTACTCCTGTTACAAACCTCAGAAGGATGGAAGGCTAAGTGACCCTTGAGCTGGCTACGTGAGATTGAACCCCAGATCGTGAGCAGAGTTAGGCTGCAGTTTAGCAGTTTTTAACCACTGTGCCATGAGGCTCCTCCAAGCAGAGTGATGCCACCAATAACTTTGCTAATTTGGGGAACAGCAATCTCTCTGAGGGTGGGGAGTTCTCATAGAGTTGAGATTCAAGATTTCTGTACAGACTCATAACAAGGCTGGCCCTGGAAAGAAACAGCAGTGTAATAATCGTCTGAATAACTAATAGAGAGGAATGTGATAGCGCAGTCTTGTGTGTATTTACTCAGAAGCAAATAATTCAGTGGGACTTACCCTCTAGTAAGTGCATTCAAGGTTGAAGTTTTTTTGTGGAATTACTAGTATTTGTATGTATTGAGAAACTTGGTGGTTGTTCTTTACTTTACAGGAACTCAGCTAGTGGCTTCCTTCCTACCCATCCTCATTTCTTTTCTTTTGGATGAGAATGCCCTAGGATCAGCTACAAGTTCCGCAAAGTGTCTACATGAGTTTGCTTTGCAATATCTGATGCAGATTGGTCCTCAGTATTCCTCAGTCTTTAAAAAACTAATGGCTTCATCTCCATCTATGAAAGCAAGGCTTGAATCAGCTGTGAAGGGCAATCAGGAAAGTATCAAGGACAAAACAACACCTAGGCATTCAAAGAACCCAGGGAAAAGCTCAAGTATTCAACTAAAGACCAATTTTCTGTGAAATTATATTTGAAATCTTAAGCACTTTGATGATACTGCAGAAAGTTTTGTTTCCTTCTAGTAGTTTTCATCATGATAAAGGGTGTTTATTATCAGTTTAGTTTTTGTGGAACTTTGAAAGCACATTAAAACCCACTTCCAGAGGCTAGCATGCATATACCTCTTTACCAGTAAGACTGTAGCAGGAAAGCCTTGGCTTCTGGGTGTGAAACAGGAACCTAGCACAGTATGTTGTATCTATTTGCATATACAATTCCCATTTCAGAAGGGACACCCTTTTGCTCAATTTGAGTGCTTACTTTATAATTTTTTAAGTAGTGTTACTATTTGCATTGTTTCTTTCTAAACGCATAGCAGCATTCTAAGTAAAACATACTGATTTCATAACGTATGTTTGAATCTTCATATGCTTCCATTAATGTTTCCACATAGTTGTTTCACATTCTGCTATGAGCACAAATACATGAGAATGAACTAATGCCCAATTTTTCAATGCACACATGCCAGATGTATCTATGCACCTGTATTTATGTTTGTTTGTTCTGGTGCAGCACCTCACAGTGTTGCACAATCAAATGTTTTAAAATACTGTACAACTTTGAATGCTCCAAGTTGTTTGCAAATTAAGTATTGTGAGCTGCTTCAGAAGAAAAACCTTAAAAATCACTCAGTACGTTCTCATGTTTGGCTCCCATGGAGTACGGTGAATCTTAGGAGGGCAAATTCTCTCATTTGCTAGAGTTAATGGCACAAAATGGATGACTAGTTCATTGTGGTAACAAATGTGGTCGGGCATTCATTCAGTGGATGTACTACAGTTGCAGGCTGGAATGTAAAATGGGAATCTAGGCATGAATACATAAATGTGGGATGCCATTTAGATTTCACATTAAGCTGTGAGTCGTTGTTAAAAACATTGTAATGCCATCACAACTTAATTGTAATTTTAATCCATGAATTTCTTATAACTCAGTAATGTTCTAACTGCTAGTATAGCAAGTGAGATCATACAGTAAAAATAATAGATGTTTTTGCAGTCCATAGTGTAATTATTACTGAGTATCTTGAATCTACCTTTAAGATACAACTGATATCCTTAGAATTCATAAAAACATAAAGCTATTAACAGCTTTATGATACAACTCCACTCAGGAAACTGTTTGGAGGATCTGTATTTACCAAATGAAGCACATATTGTGACTGATTTACAATATTGAGGCCTTATGCTCCTTGCAAAACTCCACATAGTCAGTAAATAAATCTTTCATTGCCAAGTAAACAATTAAAGCTTACATATCAGTTTTTATTGAAGCTTACATCTCTTGCTCAGAATATATGGACTGTTTTGACACACTGTGCCTCTACATAAAGTATCTCATTTTGTATCCTGATCCATTTCATGAGATTGACTTGGAAACTGATGGATGCATAGACAATGTACAATATATATCCTTATCCAAGGGCAAGGCAAGAGTTACTGAACTGGGCTTGGATTATCTTCAGTTGTTGAATCATATGGAACAAAAGGGTACATTCTAAGCAGTGAATCATGTTGTAATATATAGAAATGTACAGTAGCTTTTGATTGCTTCAACTCCTACTTTAATATTTCAACAAACCTTTTAAATGGCAGTATTACCTGAAGCAAGTGCTCAGACAATTATAGTATTGCTATCTAGCAATTAGCTGAAAAATTAAAAAATATATAGAACTGATTCTCAGGAAGAGGGTATTGTATTTTATTATAAATTTTGTACATACTGTTGTAAATTGTACAGAATTAGCCACCAGAGCAAAATTCTAACAAGTCATTTTTCTAATTTACATAAATCTAATTTTCTTCACTTAAATCTGTGTGCTTGCTATTTTATTAATAAAACTTGCAATTTTTTTCTAAACTGCAACCCTTCTGTTAAGTACATTTATTTCACTGCCTAGTCATCCTAAGCATTACTTCTCTTTCCTATATTGCATTCAACTTGCATTCGCTTTCTACTGTTGTAGCTGTAATTGAAAACACTCTTAATGAAACATTCTTTGAGTTAGTTATGACATATTCTGTCTTGCTAAGTTTACTATAACTGTTGGTAGCCTTTCGCAACTGCTTGACAATGAGTCCCATATCTGTAATATATCTCAGCTTACACAATAACGACAAAGATCTATCCAGCCACACGATGAACCAAGCAGACGTCTCTGTCCTGTCATGGGGCATGTCCTTTTCTCCCAGCAAACCTGCACAGATGATACAGCTCTGTGGTGACCTGGAGGCTTTTTTCTGCAGATGATGACTCAAAGATTACTTCCACAATTTGACAACAGCCAGGACAACAACATACAAGCTGTGTCACTCTCTAGCACATGAGGAAGAAGTATCCCAACAGCATAAAGAGGAACTATTTACTGACCAGAGCCACCTGCCTCCCAGACTACATCATGCTAGAAACACAGATAATCAGCTCTGTCTCCACATCTACTCTGGCAACACAATTACAGGCCCCAACTATGCCACACACAACATTAGGGACTGTTTATTTGTTCCTCTGCTAATGTGATCTACGCCATCCTTTTCGATCACTGCTCCTTTGCACTACGCATAGGAGAATTTCTTTGCGAAATAATTTTGATATTTTGCGCTGTCAAGTCTCTTCTGACTTATACTGACCCTATGAATGAAAGACTTCCAGAATGTCCTATCCTCAATAGCCCTGCCCAGAATTTGCAAACTCAAATGTCCTGTCCTCAATAGCCCTGCTCAGAATTTGCAAACTCCCAGGGCTTCTTTTAGGGTGTCAATCCATCTCATATTTAATATTCTTCTCCTGCAGCCTTCAACCTTTTCCAGAATTATGGTATTTTCCGGAGAAACCTGTCTTACCTCATGCTCAAAGTAGGACAGCATCAGTTTCAGCATTTTTGCTTCCACGGACTCCTGCAGCCTTCAACCTTTTCCAGAATTGTGGTATTTTCCAGAGAATCCTGTCTTACTATGTGCTCAAAGAAGGACAGCATCAGTTTCAGCTTCCACGGGTGGTTCAGGCTTGATCTGATCTAAAACCCACCTATTCAGCTTTCTGGAAGTCCATGGTATTCAGAAAGCTCTCCTCCAGCACCACATTTCAAATGAATTCATTTTTTTCCTGTCAGCTTTCTTGACCATGCAGCTTTCAAAGCCATACATGATGACTGGAAATAAAATAGTGTGGATGGTCTTGGTCTCCAGTGACACATCCTTAAATTTGGTTCCCTCATTGCTGCCCCTCTGAGTCTTAGTCTTCTGGTTTCTTGGCTGCACTCTGTTTGGATTGATGGTTGAATCAAGGTATACAAATCTCTTTTAACTATTTCAATTTCTTCATTTTCAGTGTTAAAATTAGTTCTTCTGTAGTCATGAGTTTTGTCTTTTTAATGTTCAGCTGAAGTCTACTTTGATACTTTCAGTTTCACTAAAAGCCATTTCAAGCCATTGCTGCTTTCTTTGTGTCATCTGCATATCTTAAATTATTTACAGTATGTTTCTTCCCAATTTTGACTCCTTTATCTGCATATCTTAAATTATTTATATTTCTTCCCAATTTTGACTCCTTTTTTATCGGAATCTAATCTGGCTTTCTGTATGATATATTCTGAATACATGCAAAAGAATTCATGCAAAAGAATTACAGTGGTGCCTCGCATTACGACGTTAATTCGTTCCAGCGAAACCGCTGTAGAACGAAAACGGATTAAAACCCATTTAATGCATTCCAAAGGGCTGTAAACTCACCATCCAGCGAAGATCCTCCATAGGGCAGCCATTTTCGGTGGCTGTCTTGTGAGGAATCCGTCCCAGAAAACAGCGGGGGGGGCATTTTGTTTACCCAGTGGCCATTTTGAAACCACCGATCAGCTGTTGGAAAATCGTTGTTTTGCGAAGAATCAGTTCCCAAAGCAGGGAACCGATCATCGCAAAGCGAAATTCCCCCATAGGAAACATCATTTTGCGATCGCAAAAACTTCATCGTAATGCGGTTTTGTCGTTAAATGGGGCAATCATAAAGCGCGGCACTACTGTAATGAACATAATTAATTAGCTGCATCCCATGTAATATACAAATCATAGCATTCTAGTTTATGCTCATAAGTTGACCAGTAATCAGACAAATTGTCATAACAAAAAAAGTTGAGGTGTTCTCTGAACCAAAGTTAATATATATTGTAACACTTACCTTTTAAAAAATATTTTAATGTTTTATAAATTAACCTAAGCTATAAAATAAGGCAATAAATATAGATGGATAATCTTGTTGATGGATATACATAACAGATAATTATATGGAATTCAAGAAATCACCACCTTAAACCCAGGGACTCTGGAAAACCCAATGCTACCTCTCTCAAAAGTGTATGTAAGATCAATAATACAGAAGACTTGTCTATTTTACATAGCCATTGAGTTAAAAAGTAACTTCAAGCCTATATTTGCTTGTCCATTGGTAACATCCTAATGTGTTGCCATAGTTCTTGCAGTTCAGTTATCTAGAGACTAATTTTTTTAAAAAAAATCCTTGTCTTTAAAACATGAAGACTATGTACCTGCATTGATTTAAGTATAATCAGCTAATATCTGTGCAATAACTATATTGAAAATAAAGTATAATTTGGAATTTCTACATTCAACAATTAAATTCTCTCTTTCTCACTACAAGTTACTGATAAAGGGTTGTTCACTGTTCTGTTACAGTGGGTTTCCAAGTGGAAAATTATTCAGTACTGTAGCTTAATTCCTTTCTCCTAGTATAGTTTCTTTCTTGGCACACACAGGGAAATGCCTCCCTGTTCTCTTCTTAAAAGGGCAAAACCCCAAACCTCTCCCTAAAAAGCAAGGACAATCCAATAATTTCACAAAGGAAAGCAAACCTATGCTCACTTGAAATGCATTAATTACCTACATACTATAAATTACCATAATAACAACAACACAAAGGAAAGCAAACCTATGCTCACATGAAATGCATTAATTACCTGTATACTGTAAATTAACAGAAATCATATGCTTAGCAAACAATACAAAAAGCTTATAGTTTAGGTATAAAGTTGTCTAAGTAAAAGCATTTCATGACATGAGCAGAATTCCTTTCACAATTTTGACTGGCTTCCCCTAAGGATATTAGTGCACATTCAGTTGCTGAAGCTTTCTTTCTTTCTTTCTTTTTTAAGGAAATACAAACTCCCAATCCTTGTTGGAAATTAGCAGAAACAGGATATCCAGTGTGGTGTGGTGTGATGTATAAAATGATGGAGTAGACTCGAGTTCAAATGCCTGCTTGGCCATGGAAACTCATTGATAGGGTGCAACGGGTAAAATCACTCCCTAAGTACCTCACTTACTCTTAAGGCCCAACTAGAGTTACTAGAAGTCAGTTCTGACTTCATGGTGCATACTAAACAGAAAGAGGAAGCATTTTTAAAAAGGAAGTGAGGTGGATTAACAATTCACCTGTAGGCAACGGTACTAAAATCCAATTGGGGCTTAATGCTAGGGTAGTGCATTCAGTCAGACAGTCATTTCTTCATGACTGACTGTTGCAGTTTCTACTTTCTGCCTTGTTCCTGTTGTGACGACTGCCAGCCATCATAAGAAAACAAGGGCTCTGATGAATCAGATGGAAGGCCTCTATTGCATCACTTTAGTTCCACAGTAACCATCTAGATGCCTATAGGAAGCTCACATGCAAGACACAAGCACAGCAGCACCTGGTGACATCCTGTTATTTTAGGGGCTTCCTTAGATCAACAAAAGAAGAATGCAGTTTTATCAGCACTTATTTTCAACAGTGACAGTACTGCTATCAGCAATCTGACAACCAATGTGCAGGGCACTATTACATTAAACCATTTTATTCTTTTGTTCTCCACTTTCCATTCTTATTTTATTATAGCTCTGGCCCTCAGAATTCTGAAATTACTAATGAAATACGTCTCATTCATTGCATTGATCTCCATTGATGAATGTCCACCAACAAATTTAAAGCTGAATTGTAGCCAAAACCCTCTCTCTCTCTAAAGTTAAAACTCAGACAACTTTCTGCCTTGTTCCTGTTGTGACGACTGCCAGCCATCATAAGAAAACAAGGGCTCTGATGAATCAGATGGAAGGCCTCTATTGCATCACTTTAGTTCCACAGTAACCATCTAGATGCCTATAGGAAGCTCACATGCAAGACACAAGCACAGCAGCACCTGGTGACATCCTGTTATTTTAGGGGCTTCCTTAGATCAACAAAAGAAGAATGCAGTTTTATCAGCACTTATTTTCAACAGTGACAGTACTGCTATCAGCAATCTGACAACCAATGTGCAGGGCACTATTACATTAAACCATTTTATTCTTTTGTTCTCCACTTTCCATTCTTATTTTATTATAGCTCTGGCCCTCAGAATTCTGAAATTACTAATGAAATACGTCTCATTCATTGCATTGATCTCCATTGATGAATGTCCACCAACAAATTTAAAGCTGAATTGTAGCCAAAACCCCCCCTCTCTCTCTCTCAAGTTAAAACTCAGGCTCAAAGCCTATTTTAGCAGGCTTGATAAAAGCTGCCCATTACAGGCCGTGTTGCCTGGATCTCTGAGAAACTCCAGACTTCCCATCTGTTCCTCTTGCATTATGCTAGTACATATCTGATAATACCTTTGTGCCATTAGCTTGACATCAGCATGGATGGAGGAAACAGATTGAAATGATGAAAGCCAGACATACTGAGGGCTTAATTCAGTATAAGAATTACTTGCATGTGCCAATGTCAAGGCCGTGCTCATAAAAGAAAACATATTGTTTCTATTTATCTTGCTTGAATAAAGGAGATTACTTTTTTCTTTATCATTTAATATTGATAGAAAACATGTTTCTTTGATTAATACAGATAGAAAAAAGATTTTTACTTCAAAAATACTCATAGGTAGTGGCTGCTGGTCATTTGTTTGAGTGGGGACTAGAAACAAACAGCAGCATCTGGTAATGTGTGCACTTGCAGAGTGCAACCTTTACTTGTTAGATTACAAGTAACCTCCAAGCCCAGAGACAATTGTATGCCACACTGGGTTGCAAACAAAGATTCCTCTCTCAAGCAGATGGCCCCCACAAAGAAAACAGTATGTGCTAGGACCTGATTCTCTTTGTATTCCTATTTAGTCACTGTGAGGAAGGTTGAATAATAACCAGCTAATGAACGAGTGATCTAGACCAGTGGTTCCCAACTAAGGTGTTCTTGGACAACTACTCTCAAAAACCCCAGCCAACACAACTAGTGATGAAAGCTTCTAGGAACTGCAGTCCAAAATCACCTGAGTTGCCCAAGGTTGGGAACCACTGACCTATACTTTATGTGCACAGGGAGCAGAAAAGAGCAGTGGAAGACCCCTGAAGTGGTAGAATAAATTTCTGTACATGGAGAACTGTTTTTTTCCCCAATGCTCTCCTGCAGACAGAAAATATTTATTTATTTATTTATTTTTATTTTTATTTTTATTTATATCCTGCCTATCTTCGGTTAAGACCACTCTAGGCGGCTTGAGAACATCAAAGCAAACAAAGCAAATAAAAAACTTAAAAAGTAAAATGTGCTATTTAATTTATTTATTTATATCCCGCCTATCTGGTCGGTTAAGACCACTAGGCATCTTGAGAACATCAAAGCAAACAAAGCAAATAAAAAAAT